GAACTAGAAAAAAATCCCAAAATTCATGTTGGGAAAACTAGGTATCCACATACAGAAGAAGGGCATTAGACCGTTATCTCACACCACATGCAAAATCAGCTCAAAGTGACTTCATTGTAATGCCCCAAACAGGAGAACCAGTGGAAGAAAACACAGTGGAAAAGTTCTATGGCAAAGGTCTGGGCGACGAGTTTTTGATATGAACCCCAAACCAAAGGCAATAAAAACAGACATGGGATTACAGTAAACTGAAAAGCTTCTGCACAGCAAAGGAAACAAAACAGAGTGACGAAACAATATACGGATTGTGACAAAATATTTACCCATTATACACTCACAAAGGGATTAACATTCAAAATATGTAAGGAACTCAACTCTACATAAGGAAAAAAATGAGCATGATTCAAAGATAGGCAAAGGCCCATTCAAAAACAAGACATAGAAATGGCCAAGAAGTATGTGACAAATGCTCAACATTGCTAGTCGCTATTTAAAAATAATAAAAATTAAGTGTACTGTACATTTCAAAATTACTAAGATTAAATCAAAAGATCTCACCAAAGAAAAATAAGTATTTGAGGTGATGGATATGTGAATTAGTTCAACTCAGGTATTCCACACTGTACTCATAATCCTAACATTAAACTCCATGAATATATACAACTATAATTTATCCACTTAAATATTTTAAGACAGTACAAAAATCATGAAATAAAAGACCTTCACAGGGGCCACCATTGTGGTATAGCAGGTAAAGCTACCACCTAATATGTACGCATCCCATACGGTAGCCAGCTTTTGTGCTAGCCATTCTACTCCTGATCCAGCTCCTTACTGTTGGCCTGGGAAGTGCTTGGGCCTCTGCTACCCACTTAGGATACCTGGGTGAAGCTCCTGTCTGGGCCTTTGCAGCTACCTGGGGAGTGAACCAGCAGATGGAAGATCTCTCTCTCTCTCTCTTTCAAAATAAATACTTAAAAAAAAAAGAACTTCACATTCATTAACAATTTTTACAACTAGGTTAGGTATATTGTCCCCAGTTTACATACAAGGAACCTGAGGTAAAAAAGAGGTAAGTGTATTAATATGGCCTTTTAAATAATAAACGGTACTCAGTTTTGAAAAGACCAATCAATTGAAACATAATTTGCATGTTAATTACATATTCTCATAAGTTTTAAAACACACATCAGTAATAACTACTTCTGTAATCTAAAATGTAAAAAACTTGTTTTGTTCCAGAGCGATATCTCCTGCCCCATTCTGACCTTTTCTCTCAGGAAGCCACCTTTCTGCTGTTGCAATAGGTTAAATTTGTCAAGTGTCTTGGATATAGGAGCATACACAGGGACTGCTTTGTGTTTGCCTTCCTTACATGTTTTCTAGACTCATTTCAGTTACTTTGTGTTGCAGCTCATTCCTTCTAAACTTGCTGATAACTATCCTTATGAATTAATATACACAATTTTTTCTTAAATATTAAGCTATTGGGAAACACATGCATTGTTTCTGGATTTTGACAATTTTGACTTTTGTCTCTTGTGAGCAAATTTCCTATGACAAAGGAGCAAGTTTGTGTATGGATTCGTTTTCATTTCCTGTGCGTAAATAACATGAACAGATTGCTGGATTGAATGACAAGTGAACATTTAACGTTCATAAAAAAGGTCAGTTTTCAAAAGTGACCATGTACCATTTTACATTCTCCTGCAGTCTATGCAACATCCTTTTGGCATTGGTGTTGCCATTATTTTTAATTTTATTCAGTCCAATGGATGTGCAGTAGATGATAATTGTAGTCATTAATGTACATTTTCCTGATGACTGATTTTTGGCATATACTATACCTCATTGCCATTTTTCTTTCATGAAATGTACACATCATTTTCCCATTGTTGTTGAGTTCTCTTACTAATTTCGCTTTTGCTTGTTCTTTGTATTTTTTGAAAATAAGTCCTTTGCTCAATACACATTTTAAGGATTATATGCTTGTAAGATGTTATTCCATTGTCTTCTTACATAATTTCTCAACAGAAGTCTTTGTAATGTCTTATTTTGTTTATTTCTTCCTCTCTTCACCCTTCTTCCTGTCTATTGTTGCTTTTAAGATTTCTCTGCACCAGTGTTTTTTTTTTTAACTTTTATTTAATGAATATAAATTTCCAAAGTACAGAATATGGATTACAATGGCTTCCCCCCATAATGTCCCTCCCACCCGCAACCCTCCCCTTATCCACTCCCTCTCCCCTTCCATTCACATCAAGATTCATTTTCGATTCTCTTCATATACAGAAGATCAGTTTAGCATACATTAAGTAAAGATTTCAACAGTTTGCTCCCACACAGAAACATAAAGTGAAAAATACTGTTTGAGTACTAGTTATAGCATTAAATCTCAATGTACAGCACACTAAGGACAAAGATCCTACATGAGGAGTAAGTGCACAGTGGCTCCTGTTGTTGACTTAACAAATTGACACTCTCGTTTATGGCATCAGTAATCACCCTAGGCTCTTGTCAAGAGCTGCCAAGGCTATGGAAGCCCCCTGAGTTCACTGACTCTGATCATATTTAGACAAGGTCATGGTCAAAGTGGAAGTTCTCTCCTCCCTTCAGAGAAAGGTACCTCCTTCTTCGATGACCCATTCTTTCCACTGGGGTCTCACTCGCGGAGATCTTTCATTTAGGTTTTTTTTTTTCTCCCCCCCAGAGTGTCTTGGCTTTCCATGCCTGAAATACTCTCATGGGCATTTCAGCCGGATCTGCATGCCTTAAGGGCTGATTCTGAGGCCAGAGTGCTGTTAGGACATTTTCATTCTATGGGTCTGCTGTGTATCTCACTTCCCATGTTGGATCCTTCTCTCCCTTTTTGATTCTATCAGCTAGTATTTGCAGACACTATTCTTGTTTATGTGATCCCTTTGGTTCTTAGTCCTGTCATTATGATCAATTGTGAACAGAAATTGATCACTGGGACTAGTGAGATGGCATTGGTACATGCCACCTCGATGGGATTGAATTCGAATCCCCTGGTATGTTTCTAACTCTACCGTTTGAGGTAAGTCAGCTTGAGCATGTCCTGAATTGCACATCTCTTCCCTCTCTTATTCCCACTCTTATATTTAACAGCGATCACTTTTCAGTTAAGTTTCAGCACTTAAAAAGAATTGTGTATTGATTACAGTATTCAACCAAAAGTATTAAGTAGAACAAACAAAAAAAAATACTAAGAGGGATAACATATTAAGCTGCTCATCAACAGTCAGGGTGAGGGCTGATCAAGTCACCGTTTACCAGTGGTTTTTAGTATTCATTGATTTTGGTGGTGTTTTCTTTTAGAATTTCACATTTGGGTTTCTTTGAGCTTCTCAAATCTATTGGTTTGCAGTTTTCATCAAATTTGGAAATTATTTCACCTTTTTTTAGATTCTTTTTCCTGCCTGCCTCTTTCTCATCTCATTGTGGGACTCCAGTTACACATGAGATAGATCACTTGGTGTTGTACCACAGGTAAATGAGACTGTTCTGTTCTTAGTCATTTTTCTTCTCTGTGCTTCTTCTGTGATAGATTTTATTGCTATTTTTTCAAGTTCAGCTTTTTTCCCCCTACAATGTCTAATCTACAATTAATCTTATTGAATGAATCTTATTTAAGATAATTGTATTTTTCATCATTTAAGTTCTATTTTTGGGTCTTTTGTATATTTCATTTGTCTATTTCTTATATTTTTATTACATTTTTATCTAAATGCTTGTGCATAATTATATAAGCTGTTTCAAGATCTTTGCCTAATGGTCTCTTCTTCCTTGTCATTCCTAGCTGTTTCCATTGATTTCCTCATTCACATGGGAGTCATATGTTCCTGTTTCTTAGCACATTTAGTAATTTGTGATATAAAATCAGGCATTGCTAATATTACATGTTATTTCTGATTAAAAATTTTTTAAAATTTGAGAGTCAGAAAAACAGAGAGGGGGAAGGGAAGAGGGAGGGAGGGAGGGAGACAGAGAGAGATCCTGAGCTCCTATCATGGGCTCACTTCACAAATGCCTGCAACGGATCTGCCATGTAGGTGACAGGACCCAATTACTTGAGCGATCATCACATTCTTCTCTGGCCAGCCAACTCTTACTCCTCCTTCATATTTTAATACATTTTTTTCTAGCAAAAGAAAAAAAACCACCTAAGTTTTATGAGGTACTTTGGTAAGTATTTTCTGCCAGATTAGACTCTCTGAATGATTCTCTCTCTCACCATTACATTCCAGGGCTTAGTACAATGCCAAGCCTACAATCAATGCTTAATAAATGTTTATGGATGGCCTGAATGAATAACTGAACAAACAGTAGCTAGTGTTAAGAATTCCTACCCATAAGCAGGGTTGTGGTTCAAATCAGAGTGCTTGTGCAGAGAGTGGCTGGTCTATAAGGCTCTGTGTCCTGGAGACTCACATGGGTGACAGTTAGGAGCAGTGAATAAAGAGGCAGTTATTGCAGGTGCGCTAAGTTTTCATACTTTCTCAGCTCTGGAATATTCATGCAGATTTCAAACCACTGTAGTCCCAGGGGAGATTTGCTTGCCTGGAAGCCTCCCTAAAACAAAGTCATCTCTACTGCACAGTAAACCCTAACAGGCACTGGTATTCAGAGATTTTTGTCAGGTGCTCCATAACTGGATGGAGTTTACCTCTTAGTGGAGGAGACAACCGACAAACAGGTACTGAGCCTAACTCCAGGTAAGGGTGCATGTTATTGCTCAAAATTATAAACAGGGAGAGGAGGGAGGGAGTGACATGGGAGGTGATTTTATTAGTGATAATCAAGAAAAAAATTTTTTAATGAAGTGATATTTGATCAAAGACACAAACAAGTAATGCACATTAGAATTTTCAGAGAATAATATTAATCATATACTTTATAAATCCCTATTTCAAAGTTATAGATCACTAATCTGAAAGATTCTTATGCAATAGGAAATACACAATTTTCAAAATACTTACTGCCAATAGGTTTGTATTTTTTCTTTGAATCTCAGATTCCAACAGCGTGTGGCTCACGTGTATGGCGGTATCCACATAGGGTAAGCACTTTGACTGATAATCAAGACTCACAACTTTGAAAATACCAACATGCTTTTCAATAACCATGTTCACCATGTGCTTAAGATAGTTTCTCAGTTTATTGAGAATAATTTTAAACCGCTCTGCAGTCAATTCTCCCATAGATGGCAATTTTGTACTAATGATCATGGCCTTCCCTATCATGGTGCTATACTTGATAAACATGCAGCTGTAATCATTAACGAGGCCCATGGAATTACCAATGATCGTCAGGAGACTCACAATCTGTAAATACACAGGTGAAAGAGTTGTCAGAATTTTTATTCTGAGAGCAATAAAAATGTGATCTGATATATTAATAGTCTTATGTGGAGTACATTTTGTTCAGAATCTTTATAAAATGTTTAAATACATTGGAAACATAAGTGTAAGAAACATAGGTGGCTTTCTAAAATTTGGATTTCATGCAAAGGCTTACTAGGCTATTTAAATTTAAAGTTAACCTCTGATTTTTAGTCCTGTGCTGGAGAGACAAATCACTTATTTCCTTGCTTATCACATCACTTTACAGACAATGCTCTCTGTATAGCCTTGGAAAAGGCCAGTCCTATAGAATATATGATCTCAGCCAATTCCCAAGACATAGCTACTTTGGATAGGGTAGAATCCTGACCCAAACAAAGCCAATTACATTCTCTGTGAATTTGAACAAAAATATCTAGCTAGATGGCAATGAGATGATTTAGGGTATGGCAAATCAACATATGGACAAGCAAATGTTATGGGAGCCATACAAGAGAGAGCTCATCTTCATAATGGAAGCTGGAGAAAACACTCAGAAGTGAGCAGAGATGTGAGATTCTGGGGAAGACAAATGGAAAAGTAACCTGGGAATTAGTTTTCAAGTTGACATGAATTATGATACTCTAAAATCCATTTCATCTAAGTGAATTTCTATTCCTTAAACCAAACACTCCCTAAAGACCAATTTTTTTAAAACTTACTTTGTTTTGATAATCAGGATCCATTTCAAAAAGTAGCTGACAATCTGGCCATGTAGTCTTCTTAGGTTTTGTTAGACTTTCTGTATCATTCGATGAACTTATGATTGGAGGCAAATCAATAAATATAGACAGGCGGTCATCTTGGCAAAGGGGAGTGATTGTGGCTAAAACATATAATTCAAGAGTTAATATTTTCAGGTGTCTTAAAAGTCACACTTTATCAATATGTTCCTAAATCTGTGTATATGAAATACATGAAATTTAAATACCTTAACTACAATTTTTTAAAAAGTCACACTTCAAAATGACATCTAGAACTGCTCAAAACTGAGGCTTATTTGTTGTGAAAGCTAAATGTTATTCTGTATGATAAGTGCAATTTAAAGATGGGCTCAGGTTTGGATTACATATTATAGAAATAGAAGATTCACAGGAAATGGGGTGATGGTAGGGGAGGTATAATTTTTTTTTTTTTGACAGGCAGAGTGGACAGTGAGAGAGAGAGACAGAGAGAAAGGTCTTCCTTTGCCGTTGGTTCACCCTCCAATGGCCGCTGCAGCTGGCGCGCTGCGGCCGGCGCACCGCGCTGATCCGATGGCAGGAGCCAGGAGCCAGGTGCTTTTCCTGGTCTCCCATGGGGTGCAGGGCCCAAGCACCTGGGCCATCCTCCACTGCACTCCCTGGCCACAGCAGAGAGCTGGCCTGGAAGAGGGGCAACCGGGACAGAATCCGGCGCCCCGACCGGGACTAGAACCCGGTGTGCTGGCGCCGCTAGGCGGAGGATTAGCCTAGTGAGCCGCGGCGCCGGCCGGGGAGGTATAATTTAAATAGAAAATGAAAATAAGTCACTGAACAAATATTCATATTTGGGACTTCACATCATTAAGAGAATGCAAAGGTTAGAAAACACCTGCCACCCACATGGTAGACCTGGTTGAAGCTCCTGCTTCAGCCTGGCCCAGTCCTAGCTGTTGCCATCAATGCATAAACTAGTATGCATACATGTATTTTCTGCATCTCGTACCCGATGTATCTGTAAATAGTGACACTCCATAGCAATGAGCACACTGAGAGTCTAGATCTTAGTTCCTACATTTCATTCTCTCATTCTCAATAGAGAAATAGTTGATTCCGGGCTAGAGCAAGGAAAATACAAGATGAGCCTGAAAGGATCCTAGGGGGACAGAAACGAAGGATGTGGCCACAAACAAAGGAAAAGGATGAGATGAAAGAGCACAGGAGCCAGCTGGAGAGAATTCTCTTCCAAAGCAAGGCTGCAACAGTGTCAGCAGCAAGAGAAATTGGCAGTAATACTGATTTATACTCCAAAGACGGAGACAAAGAGTAGTGGACCCAGGAAATTTATGGTGAGGAAAGGAGTAAAAGGAGACCACTAACAAATGTTAAAAATATTACAAAGCTTCATCATAATTCAAACAATATAGTATCAGTATCTAAGTTACAGACTTGTAACTGTGTAGTCCAGAAATAAAATCAAATCATACTGGAATACAGTAAGTGATGAATACATGTGTCATTTCCAATCAGTGGGCATGAGGAATGGATTGCTCAATAAATAGTGCTGTGACAGATCAGTCATTAGTCATCCAGGTGGAATATTAAAGGTGAAATACTAATTCATAACACATGCCAATAAATATCAGAGTGTCAAGTATTTATGTGTAAAAATGAGATCATACTAGGATTAGAAAGTGGGACAATGTTTTAATAATGTTATCATGGGAAAGGCCTAACTATGTTACTATCATGCCTTGAAACTTTTATAACAATTCTAAAAAAGTATCCTTTCAAAATGGTGTTATATATGGGAAAACACATTACCATAAAATTAAGCCAATTACCCACTGGGATCAGTTTTTAAAAATTCTTATTGAAGACCAAAGGTTAATTTTTCTTAATCTAACAGAAAATCATAGAAATGAATAAGATAAAGACTTTTGGCTCAACAACTTCAACTCTTATACAATTATTTTAAGATCAGTATAAGCCACAGCCATACAACAGAAGATATTGATTGCATCATTGTCTATAGCAATGAATATTTGTTTATTATTATGGTCATGGTTAGGTATATTATGGTACATTGATGTGACAGATTTATACAGCCATCTAAATGATAATCATGAGAACGCATGCACATGCAGCCATTGGAAAATATCTCTAATTCTAAATGATCACAAAATATTTTACCTATAAAGTTTGCTAATTTATAAATATGTACATATAATGCAAAAGGAAAATAACTGCTATATATTAGTAGCTGAAATGATGGGGTCATTTAAATGTTTGACTATTTCCAAGATAAATAAATATAAATATACACATATTTACATAGATTTATATTTACATGCAGATTATTATGTATGTATAGAAAAATATATGAGGGACTTGAACAATTCATGGAAAAATGGAATTAAAATTTTTTTTGGTTCAAACCTTTTTGAAAACTGTGCATAGTTTTTTTATAATGTGCATTTTCCATGAATTTTTCAAAGGGCCTTATACTAGTGAGTCCATATTGATACAAGTAAGTAAAAAAATAAACATATAGGGAAGACACAGTTATTCCCGACAGAAAGATTCCAGTTTGTCCATGTGTAAGAAATGACATAGAAGGTCACTGTTGGAATGCTACAGTAGTAATTGCTGCAGGCACAATTCAGTGATGGACGCCAAAATTAGTGGGCCAAATTTTTAAGAGAAATGAGGTATTTGTATAGTTTTTCAAATTTCCTCCCCTCCCCCTAAAGTTCCTGTATTTCCTCTTGTGATTCATAAATTACCAGTGGAGAGACCTGGCAGACCTTAGCCAAGTGGCCATGGTGAGTATCACCCATAAAAAGATATACTGACATCATGTGCTACATGGCTCAATGCTTTGAAAAAGTGGCCCAACCACTGCGATCGTCATCGTCCAACTGCAAAACTGCCTCTCATCAAGAGGCAATGCCATCAACCCAAAGTTAATGGACAGTCTACACATTAACTGAGCAGTACTCATCCAAAGACAAGGCCAGACTGAGAAAATGTCATGATCAGAAAAGATCCAAGACACGTAACACTAAACATAATGTGCAGTCCTAGACTAGATCCTGAAACTGAAACAGATCATTAGCGAAACATCTGAGAAAACCCAATCAAAACCTGTCATTTCATTAATACTACTGTTTTAATGTTAATTTTGTAATTTTGATATTTACACTGTGGTGACACATGTGAAGAGACTGCAGGAGCACTGTACAACCCTGGTCTCAAATTACATCATAATAAAACTTACGGAAAGTCAAGTGGTAGAAACATTTCATCACATGGAAAAAATGTAAAGGTTAAGATATTCAGGCCCAGGAAATCCAAAGATGCAAAACTGAAAAATCCAAAGGAGAAAAACATATGGAGAGATTGCTAGAAGACTTAGTTCTTCAGAATGGAAAGCGTAACTGAAGTTCAAGAAATATTAGCATGGCATGATGCAACTCCAAATGATAAATTACTGCACAGAAATTGGTTTACAAAGAAGGGAAATCATAGTAGCATCAGACTTCTCATCTTGCATTACTGAAAGCCAGGAGGAAGTCCAACAAATCTATAGACTGCTGAGGAAAATGAGGTGGGGCAGCCTAACGCGATGACAGTCGTCTCTGCAATATTTGTTAAGTGTATGATACTGCAAGATACTATTATCTATGGATTTTTGCTAAGCAAGAAACCCCTATCTGACTGATTCAAAATGCTCTAGAGAAAGGATTTTAAAAAGTATGTGATATTTCTTATATTTTTTAGGAAAATCCATGTTTGATCTTTATTATACAATGAAAATACTTATAAGTAGGTATGATATTTCAACGGACAGGCTGATAGTATTTCAGTTAGCTTTGTAGAAAGAGGACTCTTAGTAGATATTGGGAGTTGCAAAGCATAGTGAAAAAGACTGAGTTCCTAGGGCTTGAAAAACAGAAGGCAAATAATGGATTAGATACCAGTTTAAGCCAGAAAGATCACCCTTTAAACTCAGCAAACCATGCGATGTCACTGGAGAATGATATAATATTTAAGGACTGTTAGGGTCCAGTTTTTTTTAAAGATTTTTTAAAAAGGTTTATTTATTTATTTGAAAGAGTTACAGAGAGAGAGAGAGAGAGAGAGAGAGAGAGAGTCAGAGATCTTCCATCTGCTAGCTGATTCTCCAAGGGGCTGCAATGGCCAGGACTGGGCCAGGATGAAGCAAGGAGTTTTATCCAGGACTCCAACATGGGTGCAGCAGCTCAAACATTTGGGTCATCTGCTGCTGCTTTCCCAGGCCATTATCTTGGAGATGGATCAGAAGTAGAGTGGCCAGGACTTGAATTGGTGACCATATGGGATGCTGTAATCATAGGTGGTGGCTTAACCTGCAATCCCACAACTCTGGCCCTTAGGATCTTTATAAAACTTATCATGGAAAATAAAAAAGTATTTGGCTAGGCTACTTGTTGCCATATAATTTCAGGTGGCTATACCTATACATAGCAGGAACAGAGTGAGATCAAATCTATTTAAAGTATAAAATGTTAGGCCATGACATGAAAGCTTATATTTAAGTGTCATACAGTTCTCTAGTACATGATTGGAAATACTGAAGCCTTGGCCGGTTTTCCTAATTCCCACCTTTTTTTTTTTTTTTTTTTGACAGGCAGAGTGGACAGTGAGAGAGAGAGAGAGACAGAGAGAAAGGTCTTCCTTTGCTTTTGGTTCACCCTCCAATGGCCGCCATGGCTGGCGCGCTGCGGCCGGCACACCGCGCTGATCCAATGACAGGAGCCAGGTACTTCTCCTGGTCTCCCATGGGGTGCAGGGCCCAAGTACTTGGGTCATCCTCCACTGCACTCCCTGACCACAGCAGAGAGCTGGCCTGGAAGAGGGGCAACCGGGACAGAATCCGGCACCCCGACCGGGACTAGAACTCGGTGTGCCGGCGCTGCAAGGTGGAGGATTAGTCTAGTGAGCTGCGGCGCTGGCCGCTAATTCCCACCTTTTCATGTGCTTTCTGGTTAGATGTATAATTCATATATTTTCAAATAATTCCAAATGTACATTTCTGATTCCCAAAGAATGAATTTGTGATCTCCCCAAACTGTATAATATCTGTCACATCCTTGGGTAAAAGCTTCAGATGCTAACATTTAAGAAAATATTGCCAAAGAAGACAACACATTGCTCTAAACATTTAAAGTACTCACTTATACATTTCTCAATATTAGCCAGCATATTTTGAATTTTTCTTGAAAACTCCAATCTGTTAGGATCTATGAAGAGATCCATGTGGCATTCTGAAAGTCTAAGAGAGAAAACAGTGAAAGCACTGTGCAGACTATAGTAAGAAACATAAAATACAGTTACTTGTCATTTTAAATAAATGAAATCCCAACATTTGCTCCAAAATGAATGCAACTGGACATAATTATACTAAGTGAAATAAGCCAGACCCAGAAAGACAAATATCACATTTTCTCCTATTTGTGGAAGTTAATATAGAGTACAAAATTCGTGTGGATGTCATAGTTTGCTATGTAGTTAACTACTGCTTCACTGTGTCATACCACGTACATGACAATATACCCTTCTTTACCCACATTATCGGCAGTAGCATGAATCCCTCACACTGTGATATTAATATTTGTTTCCAAGAAAAGTAGTATATATGTGTGTATATATATATATGTCTGCATATGAAATGAATGTGGCAAAATGTTAAAAGCTATTCAATTTCAAAGCTCAAAAGACACTTATGAAAAAGGAAACAAAAAAGACCAATACTTACTCATTGTATACGTTTCTATTCCCAAACTCAGTTGTGAATTCTCTGTCTATAAGCAGCCATTGAAACAAAGAAAGAATAACAAGTTGATTGATAGTTTTAACAGATAAATGACAAAATTTGATGTATGTCAGTGCTTTCCAGACAGCCTAAGAATCAGCTAGCGAGGTCACAGAAAGGCAGCATTCAGATGGTGGGTTCCACCCCCAGGGAATGGAGGCACTCAGAAATGGAGCCAGGAGTCAGCCTTGCTAACACACACACTGGGTACTGCTCCTGCTGCTGGAGGGCCAGGCCCTCTCAGCAAGAAGCTGTGTGTGTATCGAGATGAAATGAGGGCCAGTTGTTAATACTGACATGAGCCACAAATGGTCTGCATGGTCACGCTCACTTTTAGTACCATTTAAAGTGGATGAGAACCACCATCTATAAACTGATAATACACAAAATGATTGAACTTCTCCCACCTGGTCTTTTCCCGCTCCCTGCAAGGAATCTCGTGCGTCTTACCTGAAAGAATTTCCTCGAGACTGTAGGTGGAGATTTTTTTCTCGGCTTTCAGGGGCAGCTCTGCAGGTGAGTAAGTACCTGGGTCACAGAGGTCTTCATATTTGGATGATTCAGCTTCCTCAGTCAGCTCGGATTTCTCACTGTGCTGGTCAGACTCAGGAAGGGTCTCCTTCGAGTCTTCTGATGACTCACTCTCCGCAAGATTCCTCAAGTGCAGATTTACTTCAAATATTGGTGCGTATATTGTTCTCAAGTTCAAAGTCTAATTGAACAGATACGTAAGTGTGCCAGTGACAGCCAGAACTAGTGGACAATGCAAAACTTCGATTTTAAATGATAAATTATAACTCCAGTATAACTGAATAGCCCTGTATTACCACATAGCTGATGCTTGTGTGTGAAAATGAATTCCACATGAAATAAATGGTATATTATAAATATGGCACTCCCCCCACCCCCATACTACCCCAGGGTAGCTACATGTTAGCTACTTGAGAGGTTATCAAAAATATAACACAAGAGATTTAAGGGCAGGATCCAGGACTTGGGAACATCTAAAAGCTCAACAGGCAATGTTACACTGTACCCAGGTAAAGACTTCAATTAAGAAATACACTTCAGGATCCCAAGATGGCAGATTGGGAAACAACATACTGCGCTAGGCTAGGGATAAACAGTGGGAAAAAAAGTGTAGGAAGTGCACTCTCAGCAGGAATTGGAGAGCAAACTGCCCCAGAAACCCTATGAGATGCAGAACAACGGGAATCTGTGGGGAAGGTGTGGATGCTCAGCATGAACTCAAGCCTAACACACGACTGCAACAACCAGGGCAGGAGCAGGTGGCAGCTTGGCAACAGAGGTGAGACCGAACTGCAAGAACCCATGGTGATACAGCCAGAGGAGGAGCATGGCTGAGTCCAGACTAGCGCTCTGGGGGCTGGCGGCTGCCCACGGACCCAGTGGAAGTAGGGGGAAACTTTATCTCACCCCAACCTCCCCACAACAGCACCCACTGCCCAGCTGAGAAAGGATGGGCACTATTTTGGCTTTGGGCAGCAGCTGTGGAAGCCTTAGTATACGTGCACAGCAACTGGCTGGGACAGGACACCATCTTCCTGGTAGCACTGGTAGCAGTGGCAGGGAGAGAGCAAGATTTGGCAAGTGGCTCTTGTGTATGCGTGTGATCCAGAGATTCCAGCAGAGGGAAAACACTGCAGACCCCACTGCGTGGCTGGGAAGAGTGATTCAATGATTACAGGAGAGGGTACAGGGTGTAGTTGGGTCTTTCAGTAATCACTGGGTGCAGATCCATATGCTTGGAGCTCCTTGGTTGTTTGGGCAGGTCATTGCAGCAAGAACTGAGCTCACAGTGAGGACTGTACAAATCATTTTTGTGGTCCATACAGTGGCACTGATGAGTGTTGAACACACTGGGAGCTAATACCCAGGCATTGCTTAGCCTAGAGGTGTGGGGGTGATCACACCAACAGAGGTGACCACTCCCCCGCTTTTGTTAACAAGCGATCTACCATACCCAACTCAGGTGTTACCCTGGATACTCACACCACCCTGGAGCACTGATCAGAGCTTCCTGGCTACACCCACCACACACCTCTTGATATTCACTGAAGGTGCAGACATCCCACTAAGCCACAGAGGCATAGCTCAAAGATAAAAGCCATCCGAGAAAAAAAAAATTAACTTCACAAATGCCTGAAAACAAACACAAATTCAAGAAGCAAGAATAGGAAGACACCATGACCTCCCCATCCCCAACAAAGGAACACAACATTTCAATATTAGAATGTGAAGATGAAGAGATTGATGAAGTGCCAGAAATGGAATTCAAAAAATTAATTATCGGATTAGACAAAAGCAACCAGGAGCAAATCCACAGACTAAAGAAAACCATACATGACAAGAGGAAAATTTCTCCCATGAAATTGATTTTTTAAAGAGAAATCAAAATGTAGTATTAGAAATGAAGAACTTAATAGATCAAGTAAAAAATGCAGTGGGAAGCCTGAACAGCAGACTTGCTGAGACAGAAGAAAGAACATTTGAGCCAGAAGACAAATCTGGAAGTCTTTCAGTTAGACAAAAAAAAAAAAAAAGAAATTATAAAACTTAAAAACAGTGTTGAATATTTATGGGATACTATCAAACAATGCAATATGAAAAGAAAATGGACTACATGGCCTATTTAGTGAAATAATTACAGAAAACTTTCCTAATTTGGAGAAAGAAAGGAAGCACACAGAACTCCTAATGACATGACCAGAAAAGATTGCTTCACCATGCCACATTGTAGTCAAACTTTCCATAGTAAAACATAGAAGATTCCAAAATGTGCACTGGAGATGTGCCAGATTACTTTCAGAGGATCTCCAATCAGACTCACATCTGACTTCTCATCAGAAACATTACAGCCTAGAAGAGAATGGAGAGACATAGACCAAGTCTTAAAAGAAAAAAAATGTCAACCCAGAATACTGTACCCTGAGAGCTTATCAAGGTTTTGGTATACCATTTATGAGTGAAGGTGAAATAAAAATTTCTATAACAAACAGAAATCGAAAGCATTTGTCACTACTCATCCAGCCTTACAAAAGATGCTTACGGATGTGCTATACACAGAAACACAGAAAGATAGCCATCATTATGAAAGAAGGTGAAGGCAGAAAATCCCCCAGTTAAAGTACAAAACAAATCCAAAGTAAACAATGGAAATATTTATGGGAAAATGGCAGGGCCAATTCATTACTTATCAGTAGTCACATTGAATCTAAGTGGCCTAAGTCTTCAGTTAAAAGATACAGAATGGCTGAATGGATTAAAAAATAAGTCCCATCTATTTTCTGCCTACAAGAAACATTTCATCAACAAAGATACATGCAGAAAAAGTGAAAGGATGGAAAAAGATACTCCACGCTAGTGGAAAGAAAAAGAAAAAAGGCAAGGGTAGCCATCCTAATATCAGGTAAAATAGACTTTAACACAAAAACTGTTAAGAGAAACAAAGGGCAGTATGTAATGATTAGAGAATCAATTCAACAGGAAGATGTGACTATAATAAATGTATACACACCCAATTACATAGTGTCTGGCTATTTAAAAGAAATATTAATGGACCTAAAGGGAGATGTAGACTCCAACACAATATTAATGGGGGACTTTGACACCCAACTTTCAACAATGGACAGATCAACCAGAGAGAAAATCAACAAAGAAACAACACAGCTAATTGACACTATGGACCAAAGGACCTAACAGAAATCAACAGAACTTTTCACCCTATAGTTCAGAATACACATTCTTCTCATCAGTGCATGGAACTTTCTCTAGGATAGACTACATGCTTGGACAAAATAAAGTCTCAACAAATTAAAAAAATTATACCATGCATCATCGCTGATCACAATGGAATGAAGCTGGATCAATGACTCAAGAATCTTTAGATTATATGCAAACACATGGAGACTAAACAACATGTTCCTGAATGAGCAGTGGGTCATAGAAGAAATCAATAGATTAAAAATATTTCTGCGAACAAATAAAGATGACAATGAATCATATCAAACATTAAAGGACATAGCAACACCAGTGTTAAGATAGAAGTTTATAGCAAGCAGTGCCTAAATGAAGAAATTGGGAAGGTACCAAATAAATGAGCTATTAGTGCATCTCAAGGACCTAGAAAAACAGAACACCAAACCCCAAATTATTAGGAGGAAAAAAATTATTAAAATTAGAGACAAAATATACAAAACAAACAAAAATACAAAAGATCAGTGAAATGAAGAGCTGGTTCTTTGAAAAAATAAACAAAATTTATATACCATTGGCCCAGCTAACCAAAAAAAGAAAGATAAGACATAATATAATAAAATTAGAGATGAAAATGGAAATGTAACAATAGACACCACAGAAATAAAAAGAATCATCAAGGATTACTACAAAGAGCTGTCTGCCAACAAACTGTGAAACCTAGAAGAAATGGATAGATTCCTAGACACATACAATCTACCAAAATTGAGTCATGAAGACATAAAAAACCTAAACGGACCAATAAACAAGACAGAAAATCATTTAGTAATAAAGACCCAACACAAAGTCCAGAACTGGTCAGCTTCATTGCTGAATTCTACCAGACATTTAAAGAAGAATTAATTTCAGTTCTTCTCAGACTATTCAAAAGACTTAAAAGGGAGGGAAGTGTCACTCCCCCTCTTCGCGGAGGAACGACACTAGACCCTGCATTGTTCTTTTGTCTGCTCGGCCCTTCCCGGGTTTGCTGCTGGTTCTTCCTGGGTTGGCTGGCAACCCCTTCACCTCTGTGGAGGGGCGGTTCCCCCTGCCACTTTCCCCACTTCCGCGGGGGAGCAGCACACCGCCGGCCGGCTCTCTTGGGGGCTGCTCAGATGTTATCCGGATGTTCCTTCAGAGAGATGTTCCTGGTGCAAGTTGTCTCTCTCCTCCTTTATAGTCCTCTTCCACCAATCCCAACTCTGCTACCCACACGCCGAGCATACTGCTCTCCCCCAATCAGGAGTAGCTCCTGCAGTTCATTGGTCAAACTGGAGGTAGCTGCGTAGAAGCTGTTTACTCCTCTCCCAGCGCCATATGGTGGGAGAGCAGATGCATAGAATAAGTCTTAATTCGAGTAACTTAGTCTAGTCCGAGTTGCTCCCCACAGGGAACTCTACTGAACTCCTCCTATGAAGCCTGTATCACCTTAATTCCTAAGCCAGAAAAGGATACAATAAAGAGAACTATAGAACAATATTCCTGATGAACATAGATGCAAAAATCCTCAACAAAATATTAGCCAGTCAAATCCACGAATACATCAGAAAGATTATTCACTAGGGCCAAGTGGGATTTATCCTTGGTATGCAGGGATGGTTCAATGCTTGCAAATCAATAAATTTAACACATCACATTAACAAACTAAAGAACAAAAATGATATGGTATGGTTATCTCAATAGATGCAGAGAAAGCATTTGATAAAATACAACATCTTTTCATGATGACAATCTTAATCAACAGGATATAGAAGGGACATTCCTCAACACAATCAAAGCAATTTATGACAAACCCTTAGTGAACATCTATTGAATGGTAAAAAGCTGAAAGCATTTCCCCTAAGATCCAGAACCAGAAAAGGATGCTCTCATCATTACTATTTAACATAGTCCTGAAAGTTTTAGCCAGAGCCATTAGGCAAGAAAAAGAAATCAAAGGGATATAAATTTAAAGGAGGAAGTCAAACTATCCTTATCTGCAGATGACATGAAGCTATATATTGGGGAACCAAAAGACTCCACTGAGAGATAATTGGAATCCATAAAAGGGTTTGGTAAAGTTGCAGGATATAAAATCAACACACAAAAATGCCATGGCTGAGAAAGAACACCTAAGATCAATCCCCTTCACAATAGTTTCAAAAATAATTAAATATCTTGGAATAAATGTAACCAACCATGTCAAAGATCTCTACAATGAAAATTGTAAAAGAGTAAAGAAAGAAAGACATTAAAAAGTGGAAAAATTCTCCATGTTTATGGATTGGAAGAATGAACATTATTGCAATTTACAGATTCAGTGCAATCCCAATCAAAATACTAATGACATTCTTTGCAGATCTAGAAAAAATGCTGAAATTCCTATGGAAAAACAAGAGACCCCAAATAGCTACAGAAATCTTATACAACAAAACAAAGCAAGAGGCATCACACTATCTGATTTCAAGACATACTACAGGGCAGTTATAATCAAAACAGCCTGGTATGGGCACAAAAACAGATGTATAGACCAATGGAACAGAATAAAATCTCCAGAAATCAATCCACACATCTACAGCTAACTTTTCTTTGATAAAGGAGCTAAAATCAATCCATGGAGATAAATCAATCTCTTCAACAATGGTGCTGGGAAAGGAGATAAATCAGTCTCTTCAACAATGGTGCTAGGAAAACTGGATTTCCAGGTGCACAAGAATGAAACTAGACCTCTACCTTACACCTTACACAAAAATCTACTCAAAATGGATAAAAGACCTACGTGTATGACTCAATATCATCAAATTACTAAAGAACATTGGAGAAACTCTGGAAGACATTGGCATAGGCAAAGACTTATTGGAAAAGATCCCAGAAGCACAGGCAATCAAAGCCAAAATTGACAAATGGGATTACATCAAATTGAGAAGCTTCTGCACTGCAAAAGAAACATTCAGCACAGTCAAGAGGCAACTGATAGAATGAGGGGAAATATTTGCAAGCTATGTAATGGGTAAAGGGTTAACATCCAGAATATATAAAGATCTCAAATTCAACAATAGCAAAAACAATCCAGTTAAGAAATGGGCAAAGAACTTGTACAGATATTTTTCAAGAGAGGAAATTCAAATGACCAACAGACACTTGAAAAAAAAATGCTCAGGATCATTAGCTATCAGGGAAATGCAAATCAAAACCACAATGAGGTATCACCTAACTCCATTTAGAATGGCTCTACTATAGGAATCGACAAACAGGAAATGCTGGCCAGGATGTGGGGAAAAATGTATCCTAATCCACTGTTTTTGGGAATGTAAATTGGTGTAGCCATTGTGGAAGACTGTATGAAGATACCTCAGAAAACTGAATATGATCCAGCCATCCCATTCCTGAGAATTCACCCAAACCTAAAAAGAAATCATCATCTGAAAGAGTTGTATATACCCCCATATTCATTGCAGCACAATTTTTAATAGCGAAGATATGGAATCAACCCACCAGATGTCTATCAAATGATAACTGGATAAAGAAATTATGATATATATCATATATAAATATACACATATACTATACATATATAATATATATTCACATACATATTATGGAGTACTACTCAGCTGTAAAAAAATGAAATCCTGTCTTTTGCAACAAAATGGATGTGACTGGAAACCATTATATCTAGTGAAATAAGCCAATTCCAAAAAGACAGATATGTTTTTCCTGATCCAAGTTAATTAATAAAGTACCCGAAATGTAATATTTTGGAGTGAAATGGACATTGTGTGATTCCATGATTGTTTACAGCCCTTGTTTCTTCTGTTGAGGGACTGTTTTTTTTTTTCATACTATTTGTTGAACTCTTTTACTTAGTGTAGGGTTAACTTTATGATCATAAAGTAAACTTAAAATAGATCTTGATAAAAATTAAGAGCTAGAATGGGAGAGGGAGGAGGAAGAAGGGATGGAGCATTGGCAGGATGGAGGGTAGGGTGGGAATTATCACTATGTTCCTAAATCTTTATATATGAAATACATGAAATCTTTATAATTTAAATACCATTAAAAATTCTGTCTTTTCTTCTAGATCACCCACAACATGGTTCACTTAGTCTGTTCATATGGAGTAAATGACTACTTTCCCTTAAAAAAAGAGAAATATACTTCAAATCATTACTATCAATCCTAGTTCCTCACTTTAATGTACATGTTCTATATAGATATCTTTGCCAAAAAATAACAATGTTATTATTCTAAAGCTCTGTCTTGGCATGGGTTCTTCATCCCTCAGATTCCATAATCTGTTATGATTGAGGCATCTATTGCATAATTACCAGTATGTGTTTCTCAGGTGGTCATCTGAATTATCTGCTGGAACCCTCAACCCTTAGTTCCAATCATCAAGTATAAATGAACTCCACCAGTGTACCACAAAACTGCTAGGGAAAGAGCATGAATGGATACTGAAATGCTTGACCAGACTAATAATAAGGCAGATAAAATGAAAACTGCAGGAGGATACCCTTTCACTTCTGTCTTATTAGTAGGGACATTAAGTGTTGGTGAGAATTTAGTTCTAAAGATAATTTTAATTGATACAGAAATTTTGATATAAAAATTTCACATTATTCAGCACATTTGAAAATAAATGCACCATTTTTTACCTAGAATTTTTCTCCTTAGGAATATTTAAATAAACAGCAACACCTGTTCATGCACACCAAAGCAGACACACACAAGAATGTGCATGACAGAACTCTATGTAACAGCAAAACAAAAGCTAAAAAGACAGCATGAATAATTATTTCATCAAGAAGGGATAAACAGAGGACATTAAAGACTTCTAAGCAGAGTGAAGCCTGCACAGGTGTTTACTTTTGCAGATATGATGTATTCAATGAAGACTATAAATACAATAAATATGTATCAGATAAATTCAGATCAGATTGAAAGGTATATATAAGAAAATAAAAATAACCAAGAGCCCTATGATCCATAGTTAACAATAGTGAGAACAGAAGGGGGTGGCCACTGCTGTAGATGGGATGGCTTCCCTGACATTCTAGTGTGAATGAGCATTCAGTGTCACTCTGGGTTTCCTAGCTTCCTTTTTTGGCTCCCCAGAGTACTCATTTATTTTCTCCTGTCGTTGAATACAAGCTCCAAGAGGTCAATGGATTTGTTCTGCCTGTTGCTGTATTGCAAAGTCTACATCAATGCCTGGCACACAATAAGTATTTAATAACTATATATTGAGTGAATGAACTAATGAATCAAATTAAATAGGTGCTATTACAGCTTTTTACAACAGGAGCAGCTGTGTGTGTGTATGTGAATATGTGTGTGTATATGTGTTGGAGAATACATATGAATATTAATCATAAATCACATTTAACTATAAAACATTCATCTTATAAAAATATCTGTCTATAGTTTTTTTTTTCTGGTTAGGTTGTCTATAGTTTTTAAAGAGCATTTTACCTGGATAATATCAGTGTCTGTTTTTCCTTCTGATTTCTGAACCACAATAACATCTGAGGTTGAGGCAGTAACAAGTTCTTCACTATCATTTCTTCTATTTTCAGTGGACAAACAGCTGTCCTTGAATGTTCTAGATTAAGAAAATGGGAAGGAAAAAAATCATGTAAAAGTCACATAAAATCCCTAATCTAAAAATGTATCGAGAACTTCAACCCAACAACAAGAACAAAAACAACCCAATTAAAAAAATAGGCAAAGGTCTTGGCTAGACCTTTTTCTTAAGGAATTATACAAATGGATGATAAGCACAGGAAAAGATGGTTTTAATGTAATTAATCATTAGGGAAACACAAATCAAAACCATATCATCTCATACCCATTAGAATGGCTAATATAAAAAATAAGAAATGAGCTCTCACCCATTACAGGTGGAAATTAAAATGATACAGCTACTGAGGAACACAGTAAGAAGTTTCCTCAGAAAGTTAAATGTGGCAGTGTATGACCCAGCAATTGCGTTTCTAGCTCTGTACCAAAGAATTGAAAGCGGGGACGCAACAAGATATTTGTGTACCTTCAAGGTTTATAGCAGCATTATTCACTATGTTAAAAGGTGAAATTAACCCAAATTTATACAAATAGATGGCTATATAAATAAAATATGATCTCTGTAATGGAATATTCAAACTGAAATGAAAATCTAATGTTTGCTACCATGTTTTAAGCACTGAAAATATGCTAAATGAGGTTAAGTTATACGAAAAAGGACAAATGTCACCTGATTCCACTTATGTGAGGTACCTAGAAATAGGGGAAGTTCATAGGATAGGCAGTGGAGTACAGTTTATTAAGGCTGGAAAAACAGGGAGGATTATGGTTCATGGGTAACTCATGGAGCTTCAGGATGGTGAAAAAGTTCTGCAAATGGATGATGGCAATGTACAGCACTGTGGACATATTTACTGTCACTCAACTGCTGCTTAAAATGGTTACAATGATCAATTTTGTATTAGTTGCGTGTTACCGCAATCATCAAAATCATGTCTCATTTCATCAGGAAGAGAAAAACTAAGAAGTACAAATATTCTACAAATCTTACCTGGGTGAAAGAATAGAAAAATAAGGCATTTTATAGAAAAGGAAAATAAATGAATAGAAAAATATAATTTTAATTATGAATATTGGGAAGATGAAGTAAAAAATAAACCAAAAGATAATTTTAAATTTTTTTTTAAATTTTAAAAATTTTTATTTGAGAGGCAGAGAGAGAAAGAGAGAGAGAGCCAGCCAGCCAGCCAGAGCTCTTATTCACTGGTTCACTCCCCAGATGCCCGCAAAAGCTAGGATTGGACTGAGGCAGGATCTAGGGACCCAATCCAGATCTCCGACTGGGTGAGCAGGACCCAACTACTTGAGCCATCACCTGCTGCCTCCCACAGTGCACATTCAAAGGAAGCTGGAATGGAATCAAACCCAAGTAGTCTGGTGTGTGATGTAGGCATAGTAACCAGCAACTTAACCACTAGGCCTAACACCTGCTTCTGAAATGGATAAAGAAGCCTAAAGCATGGGGCTATATGTGGGGAGCAACTCGGACTAGACTAAGTTACTGGAATTAAGACTTATTCTATGCATCTGCTCTCCCACAATATGGCACTGAGAAGGGAGAAACAGCTTCTACACAGCTGCCTCCAGTTCAACCAATAAACAGCAGGACCTGCTCCTGATTGGAGGAGAGCAGTGTACTCGGCGTGTGGGTAGCAGAGTTGGGATTGGTGGAAGAGGACTATAAAGGAGGAGAGAGACAACATGCACCAGGAACATCTAAGGGGAACATCTATCCGAAGGAACACCTGTGCAGCCCCCGAGAGAGCCGGCCGGCGGTGTGCCGCTCCCCCGCGGAAGTGGGGAAAGTGGCTAGGGGGAACCGCCCTTCCACAGAGGTGGAAGGGTCGGTAGCCAACCCGGGAAGAACCAGCAGCAAACCCGGGAAGGGCCGAGCAGACAAAAGAACAACGCAGGGTCCTGTGTCGTTCCTCCACGAAGAGGGGGAGCGACATAATGGTGCCGTGACTCGGATAGGAAACCTAGGAGGGAAGAAATGGGAAGAAGTGGGAAAATACCAGAGAGAGAGACTAGCAAAGAGCCTAGGGAAAAGCCGGACAGAAAAGGTGCCGGAAGAAGCTATCAAAAGCCTAGGCATAGACTCAAATACGGACTACGGGGGGAAGCTGGGAGAAATCTCTAAGGTCGAAAGCAAAAGTGAAAGCTAGAACAAACAGACTCGGATACGGACTGTGGGGAGAAGCCAGGAGAAATGAGGGAGGAATATTGTTGGAAGAAAACTTAGGGAAACATACCGGGTAGAGAAAAATGTTAGGGAAATTGAAGCTGCGGGGGCAGGCCGAGGCGGAGACGTAAGCCAGCTTGGAATTCTTTAAGTCAGCCCGGGGAGCAAAAGGCGAAAAGTTAAACCAGAGGTGGAAACGTGGGCCAGGTTGGAATCTGTCAGATTAGCCCGGGGAGCAAAAGACGGGAAGCCAAACCATAAGGCGGAGACGCGTAAGCTAGGTTGAATTCGCCAGGTTAGCCCGGGGAACTTAGATTGAATACCGGTGGCGGAAACGTAAGCTACGCTGTGTGACTTGTGGAAGCCGCCACGTGCAGAGATAGCGCGTGGGGCGTGAATAGATAGGGAACGTGGGGCTAGCGTGGAGGCCGTGGTGCGGGCGCGAAGGGGCGCGGAGACCGCGGACTGCGCGCGAAGCCGGGAAGCCGCGCAGATGAGAGAAGCGCGGGCTGAAGCGGCTCAGAGCCGGGAAGCCGCCGAGAAGCAGCCTCGGGGCGGGCGCCGGGAAGCCGCAGGGATAAGAGAAACAGAAATTTAGAAGTAAAATGAGAGAAATAGGAATGCTGGCAGATAGAAGTAAAATGGGAGAGATAGGAATGCCCGGAGATAGAGAAATAGAGAAAAATAAGGCCTCCCCTCATCATGGCAATGAGAGAGCTTGGATTCGGTCTGCCTGATTAGGGAGGTGGTGAGCACCTGCGGGCGGCTAGCAGCTTATGCGCCGCAGGTCACCAAAGACAGGCACAAATTAACATCAATAAGTCTCCCCACAATACTGTAATGAGAAGGCTTGGATTTGGTCTGCCTGATTAGTAAGGCGATAAGCACCAGCAGGCAGCTCGACCAGAGTATGAGCTGCAGGTCACCGAAGATAAGCACGAATCAACACCAATAAGTCTCCCCACAATACGGCAATGAGAAGGCTTGGATTCGGTTTGCCTGATTGGTAGGGCTTGTAAGCACCTGCAGGCAGTTCTAGCAGAGCAGAGCATGCGCTGCAGGGCACCGAACACAGGCACGCATCAGCGCCTAAAAACCTCCTCACAACATGGCGAAGAGAGGACCCGGATTCGGTTTGCCTGATTGATAGGGCTTGTAAGCACCTGTGGGCAACTCTAGCAAGCAGAGCAGAGTGTGTGCCGCGGGGCACCGAAGACAGGCGCGTATCAACGCCAAAAAATAAAAAGAAAGGGGGATCTGTGGGGAGCAACTCGGACTAGACTAAGTTACTGGAATTAAGACTTATTCTATGCATCTGCTCTCCCACAATATGGCACTGAGAAGGGAGAAACAGCTTCTACACAGCTGCCTCCAGTTCAACCAATAAACAGCAGGACCTGCTCCTGATTGGAGGAGAGCAGTGTACTCGGCGTGTGGGTAGCAGAGTTGGGATTGGTGGAAGAGGACCATAAAGGAGGAGAGAGACAACATGCACCAGGAACATCTAAGGGGAACATCTATCTGAAGGAACACCTGTACAGCCCCCGAGAGAGCCGGCCAGTGGTGTGCCGCTCCCCCGCGGAAGTGGGGAAAGTGGCTAGGGGGAACTGCCCTTCCACAGAGGTGGAAGGGTCGGTAGCCAACCCGGGAAGAACCAGCAGCAAACCCGGGAAGGGCCGAGCAGACAAAAGAACAACGCAGGGTCCTGTGTCGTTCCTCCATGAAGAGGGGGAGTGACAGCTATATGGGAGGTGTTATAAGGAAGATGCAGATTAGCACACAGGCAAATAGGGAAAAATAAAGAGAAAAAAATAAGTCTATGTAAATAAAATAGATGGGATAAAAATCAAAGCATATCAATCAACTAAATGTGAAAGGCTTGATTTCCCCATCAAAATATGGAAATGATCAGGTTGGGTTAAAAACCAAAGTCAAATTATAATGGCATTCATGAAATAGGTGAAAAAGCTTGAGAATATGGGTATTAGGAGTTTCTGGCAGCAAGAGCATGACAACATTCCATCACTGTAACAAAATACTTTATAAAGCATAGAGGTTTATTTTGGTTCACAATTCTGGAGACTCACAGCCCTGGAACCAGCAGGACTGGACGGTCTGTCCTCTGGTGATACTGTCCTTGCTGGGAGAGCCCAGGGTGGCACAGAGCAACACATGGCCAGAGACAGACCACCCAAGTGTCTATGTGGTCTCTTACAAAGCCAGCAGGAGACAATCAGGGGCTCCATTCTGATGGCTAATCCAAACCAAGAACTAGGATCCCACCTTGGAACACTGTGACCAGGTTAAGTTTCCAACCTCTTATACCATTAACATAGGACTTTGGGTACCAAACTCCTGAGTTCAGAGGGGCAGCCACAGCACAATACGATTCTGTTTCTGAATCTTTCTAAATCTTTGTATAGAATTCAAACAGAGGAATCAGGACTGCCAAAGAGAAAACTCCATTGTTTAATCTTCAACCCCCCAAACTGACCAGAAGCTCCCATGAGCAGCAGGACCTGTAAGACACCAGAAATTACCAACGAATAAAAAAAGGAGAACATTCCCTTGTGAGTGTAGGCCAAGGCAAGTGAGTTCGCAGACACCAGTGAGACTGATTAGGGCTCTAGCTTGCTCAGAATTTCTGGCTAGCGTAGAGGGTTCATAGGGAATTGGGAAAGGGCGGGAAGTCTTCCAAGTGCAGAAGGTCTAAGATATATATCCAACAAACACTGGCTTACAGGAACACAGACTCAAACTGAAGAAAATAGAGGATAGGCTCTAAATTGTGCTGGGCAGGGACCCTGGGGAATCCAAAGATTCAAATATTGGGTAGGGAGATGAAGAGCCAGAGACAGATCCCGCAGAGAACTTTAATATTTAAGGGCCACAGAAGTCTAGGTACCACAGCACAGAAGCAGGAAGCCTTCCTGAAATTTAGGCAAAAGACAGAAAATTAACGGTTCCGCAAAAATGCACCTTGTTGAGTATTTCACAGCAATAGCAGAGGAGGGCACCCTTGAGCTGTGGATTCCTTTTCATCAAACGCTTAATGCTGCAGTATAATCTACCTCATTTTAACTTGGAAATCCAAATGACTGTGATTGAATTCCGTACAAAGATATAGAAAGGGAAAAATACCCCTAGGCAAACTGAAAAATCTTTCAAAAGAATCTCATATCTCATTACCTAGAACTCCATAGCCAGTGAAAAAATAGGTTTTTAGACAACTACAAATGAAGGCAACACTTTCCCAACAAGCCTGCACTAAGCAAAAATACCGAAAGGAGTTTTTTAGGAAGAGGGGAAGTGATTCTACATGAAAATGAGAACAAGCAGGCCGGCGCCGCGGCTCACTAGGCTAATCCTCCGCCTTGCGGCGCCGGCACACTGGGTTCTAGTCCCGGTTGGGGCGCCGGATTCTGTCCCGGTTGCCCCTCTTCTAGGCCAGCTCTCTGCTGTGGCCAGGGAGTGCAGTGGAGGATGGCCCAGGTGCTTGGGCCCTGCACCCCATGGGAGACCAGGAAAAGCACCTGGCTCCTGGCTCCTGCCATCGGATCAGCGCGGTGCGCCGGCCGCAGTGCGCCGGCCGCGGCGGCCATTGGAGGGTGAACCAACGGCAAAGGAAGACCTTTCTCTCTGTCTCTCTCTCTCACTGTCCACTCTGCCTGTCAAAAAAAAAAATAAATAAATAAATAAAAAAAAAGAAAATGAGAACAAGCACAGAAAAAGAACACAAGAAATTATCATTATATTGGGAAATACGAATGGATATTGGTGATTCAAAGCAATACTTTCAATGTCTTCTAGAGTCAATACATGAACTAAAAATGCATTTAAAATACACATGAGGGGCTGGTGCTGTGGTATAGCAGGTAAAGCAGCCACCTGCAGAGCCAGCATCCCATATGGGCGCCAGTTTGAGTCCCGGCTGCTGTAGTTCTGAGCCTCGCTCTCTGCTATGGTCTGGGAAAGCAGAAGATGGCCCAAGTGCTTGGGCCCCTGCACCCATGCGGGAGACCCAGAATGGGCTCCTGGCTTTGGATGGGTGCAGCTCCAGCCATTGCAGCCATCTGGGGAGTGTACCAGCGGATGAAAAACCTCTCTCTCCCTGCCTCTGCTCTCTGTAACTCTGCCTTTCAAATCAATAAATAAATCTTAAAAATTAAAATAAAATACACATGAAACAACACTGTAAAAGGCAAGAGGAGAATAAAATGAGCTAAAATGCTTTGAAGTTTTAGTAGTATCATGGAGGTGATAATCAGTTGTATTAGCCTATAAGGATACCTGCTTTGAGATTAATAATGTTTTTTATTCTTTCACTACTTTTCCTTCTATTCTCTTGTTACATGGCATCCTTTCACTATCTTTTTGTGGTTAAGCCACTACTGGGTGTGAGTTCTGCCTCCACTTCCTGTGAAATGCAGACCATCTGAGAGACAGCAGATGACAATTCAAGTGCCAGCATCCCTGGCACCCATGTTGGAAATCCAGATGGAGTTCTGGGCTCCTGGCTTTGGCCTCCCCAACTCTGGCTATTGCAGGCATTTGGGGAATGAACAAGTGGATGGAAGCGGGCACTCTCTCACTCTCTCTTACTTTCCCCTTTCATTTTTTTAATTTTTATTTTATTTATTTATTTTTTTTGACAGGCAGAGTAGACAGTGAGAGAGAGAGACAGAGAGAAAGGTCTTCCTTTTGCCATTGGCTCACCCTCCAATGGCTGCCGCGGTCAGCACGCTGCGGCCGGTGCACCACGCTGATCCGATGGCAGGAGCCAGGTACTTATCCTGGTCTCCCATGGGGTGCAGGGCCCAAGCACTTAGGCCATCCTCCACTGCACTCCCTGGCCACAGCAGAGAGCTGGCCTGGAAGAGGGGCAACTGGGACAGAATCTGGCGCCCCAACCGGGACTAGAACCCGGTGTGCCGGCGCCGCAAGGCGGAGGATTAGCCTAGTGAGCCGCGGCGCCAGCCACCGTCTCCTTTCAAATAAAGTACATAAACATTTTTAAAAAGAGGTCAGTGGAAACAGATTCAGTAATGATAACTACAACTTACCAGACACTTATCCTATGTTTATGCTCAAACACCATTAGCCTCCTAAGTCACAGTGCCGGCCCCAAAATATTCTATTATTTCAATTAGTATTTCATGTCTCACAAGTTACAGGGATGGATCCAGTATTTTAACAGAATATAAAAACTTTTTTTAATAAAGATTTTATTTATTTGAAGGGCAGAGTAACAGAGAGAAGAGAGGGACAGGGAGGGAGGGAGGGAGAGAGAGAGAGAGAGAGAGAGAGAGAGAAAGGTCTTCATCTGCTGGTTTACTCCCCCAGTGGCTGCAAAGGCTGGGTTTGGGGCTGGGCCAGGCCCAAGCCAAGAGCCAGGAGCTGTATCCAGGTCTCCCACATGGGTGCAGGGGCCAAGCACTTGTGCCATCTTTTGGTGCTTTCCCAGGCACGTTAGCAGGGAGTTGGATTGGAAGTAGAGCAGCTGGGACTTGAACTGGCACTCATACGGGATGCTGGCACTTCAGGCAGCTGCTTAATCCCTTAAGCCACAACACTGTACCCAATAAAAACATTTTTTCAAGGCCTGTCATTATTGGTGAAGTATTAAACAGGTATTTTTTGGAATTGACTCAAATTCCAGTTGAATCTTGTGGCTCTTTCAGTATCACTCTCACTTATCTTTAAGAACTAGCTCTGGGGGTCGGCACTGTGGTACAGCCAGTAAAGCTGTCGCCTGCAGTACCAGCATCCCATGTGGGCACCAGTTCAAGTACTGGCTGCTCCATTTCTGATCCAGACATGTGCAGAACTTTAGGGAAAATATTGGGAAATAGTTTTCAGTTTTATGGACAGTATTAAGCAGAATATTATCAAATTGTAAGTTCAGATAATTGCAAAAGTAAGAACACACACTGCTACAAGGAGAATTTTCTAATTCTCACTTAAATTGTTGGATATGCATTCTCTAAGTGGCATTTGAAGATCAGAAATTCCTCTGGTTAAGTAAAAAAAAAAAGTATAATTTACCTGATGAGATTTTCATTCTTTTTTTCCCTTGAAAATGGCATTTTAGCAGAACCATCAAATAATTCCAGAAGCAGTGTGACTGCAGTGTTCATAAGCTGGCGGATGAGTTCCTGAAACATGCAGTCCACCAGCACCAGAAACCTGCGAATTGTTTCCAGCAGGCGCCGGTACTTGGGCATCTTGGAATATGTCGCACCACTCTTCGAGAGACTAGGCTCAAAACACTCTCTGATTTTTTCCTTTTCTGCTACCTACAATTTAACAAGCAATTGAAAGGAACAAGTCACGATTTCATATGTTCATGTTATTAGCCTGTTATTAGCCTGACAAACATATTGGAACTAAACTTTTATCAACAGTTTTCATTAAAACTTGACTTCACACTGACATGGTTTCTTCCCAGAGAAACCTTTTATTTAGAGAATATAAGCTTCATGCATTTCCTAAGTACAACTTCAGGAATACAATGATTCTCATCATACCAGCTCTCCCGCCCACACTCCCACTCCTGCATCTCCTCCCTCTCCCATTTCCAGTACCATTCTCAACTAAGATCCATTTTCAGTTAACTTTATACACACAAGACCAACTCTATACTAAGTAAACAGCTCAACCATTTGCACAAAAAAACTGTTCAACACTCAAGACAGGAATGTTCAGTCAGTGCATCTCAAAGTTAATTTCACTTTTTTTTTTAGAAACTTAAAGAAGCACCCACAAATGACACATCTTTTGTGAGCACTTAGACATAACTATGAGACATAGGGATATCCTCCATTTAATACATTAAAAGAAAGTCAGTCCTCGAGAACAAGTTTTATGATTAATTAAGGAAGCACCCAAGAACAAGCAATGGAATTGGACACTTAAGCATAACACTTATGAGACGTAAGAATATCCTCCACTTAACACACTAAAATGAAATAAATCCTTGAGAACAAGTTTTACTGTTAACTTTCATAATGCAACTCTTTGAGGACAGAAGTCCTGCGTGGGAAGTTAGTGCACAGTGACTCCTGTTGTTAATCTAATAATTGACACTCTTATGTATGACGTCAGTGATCACCAGAGGCTCTTGACATGAGCTGCTAAGGCTATGGAAGCCTTTTGAGCCCACAATCTCCCTCAGTATTTAGACAAGGCCATAAGCAAAGTGGAAGTTCTCTCCTCCCTTTGGAGAAAAGGACATCCTTCTTTGATGGCCCCTGCTTTCTTCTGGGGTTTCACTCAGAGATCCTTCATGTAGGACATTTTTTGCCATAGTGTCTTGGCTTTCCATGCCTGAAATGCTCTCCTGGGCTTTTCAACCAGACCAGAATGCCTTAAGGGCTTACATGGTATTTAAATAGCAGGCAAAAAGAAAATAATTTATGGGTTTCAAAGCCTATGAAGTTTGCTGCCTCACTTAAAAGCAACTTTTTTTTTGACAGGCTGAGTTAGACAGCGAGAGACAAACAAAGAGAAAGGTCTTCCTTTCCGTTGGTTCACCCCCCAAGTGGCCGCTACGGCTGGCGCGCTGCACTGATCCGAAGCCAGGAGCCAGGTGCTTCCTCTTGGTCTCCCATGTGGGTGCAGGGCCCAAGGACCTGGGCCATCCTCCTGGGCCACAGCAGAGAGCTGGACTGGAAGAGGAGCGACCGGGACAGAATCCGGCGCCCCGACTAGGACTAGAACCTGGTATGCCAGCGCCACAGGCAGAGGATTAGCCTATTGAGCCATGGCGCCCGCCACAATGTTTTCTGTTAAGGGACTGTCCTCAAACACAGTGAGTATTAGCAGTAAGCCAGAGCCCATCCAGGGCTGCCTCCCCTATGCCAGGCTGTAGCAACTGGACTTTTGAAACATATATTCTACATAATGTTGAATTAAGAGAAACTCTTATAATCCAATGTTAGAGCATTATTTTTAAATCATTTCATATATTTTAAGATAATTAAGATGATTGAAAAATGACATTTTGACTAAAATTATAGGATTAGTACTACTAGATTCATCTAACATTTCTAAGCTGTGCTCCTGAAAGTAACCCAGAGTTACTTAAAATGGTTCATTGTACACACATAAGTAATTTTTATTTGATAGTCCTTTAGCATTCTAAAAACACTTTCAATCTTCATTTTTTTATTTCTTCATGCTGTTTTAAAATTCCACTGATACTTCAGTAGTCATACTTTTAAGCTTATATTCTACTGTTTTAAAAAAGTAGTCCTGTTAGTGATTTTTAAAAACTTTAGGGAGGGGAATATGGTTATTTTCCTAGAATTTTACCTATGAAATATATGCGAATCTGCTCTTTATAATAACAGAAATTTAAAAAATATTTAAATTGGAGTTTATTTGCTATGGAGCAGGGTTTGGTGGAAAGGTATCTGAGAGAGGGAAGCAGAGGAAGTTGAGCTACAAGCACAGAACTCAAAATTCTGAGACCGATAACAAACCTTATGCCCAACAACCCCACAGAGATCATGGCAAATCCTTGCACCTACAGTGCTGTGATAGTTAACTTTGTGCTAACTTGGCTAGAGGTGGCAGCACTGGATGGATATGAGAACTTACATTAAGTAATACCCAGGGTGTTGGAGAATAGTGCTTCCGTGTGGAAACATGTAGACATTCTTTAGCATATACTTTCTTGTTTGACTTTCACAACTTATCTGCTTATGAGCTAATTTTATGTTATCTTGACTCAGTTTTCAGTCAAATACCATAATTTAGTAAAACTGAATGCTCTAGTGATCATTTTTTGCATATGTTCTCAGTTTTATAATCATATTTATTAATTCTACATATTTCCACGAAGTGAGCAACTTTGGTAGATTCCATTATCAGGATTAGCAATGGCTCTAAAATGTTCTCATATGCAATTGACTTAAATGGAAATTTCTTAACAAATATTTATGATCAGATAGCAGTAGCACTGAGTGGGTAGAGTGACTGAGTGAAACATTTCTATTTCAATGACCTGAGTTTTATTTTGTAAATCATTTATCTATACTGTCCTTGGCCAAACTGTCTCAGAGTCTGCCTGCGTATGTCCGGGCTTCTGGAAGTTGGAGGACTATGAAGATTAAGAAGCAATGGGAGGCTTTCAGATTCTACTTCAAACAGCTGCACTTCATCTTATCAACATGTCAAGTCTCGAAGGCATGGTTACCCAGAATTTATCCAAATTCAATTCAGAGAAATAACTTTTGAACACTCTCTGAGGGAGGCTCAGTCCACCCAATCCTCCAGAGAGCTCACGTGTCTACCTGCATAGCAGGTCCATAACTAGATGATATTGCATCAGTCCCTTATCCAACTGCATTGGTCAATTATACTTCCATGCATCATCATTCCTGCATGCAGGAACTGCATAAAACAGCCCTACGAAACTAGCAACTGCACAGAGGCTGAGAAGGTCGTGAGGATACTGCTCATCATGTTACTGAGTCTTCTTTAGGAAATCCTTAGCTATGTCAGAGTCCATCTAGGTGTGTTTGTCCTGAGCTTTCTTCATGGACACTATGAAGTTTCTCACCAATCACATTTCCCTTTACCTACCAGTTCAAGTTAGATGTTAAGAATCCTGAAGTTGTTCATGCGATACACACACACACACACGCGCGCACACTATATGTATCTTCACTAGTTCTTTTTCTTGCATTTCCACATTGCACCTGGCAAAGCTCTTGTACATGGTAAAGATGTGGCACCAGTTGGTTAGTTAACTACCTTTTCCCTTCTATTTCCCATTTTGGACACCTTTTCCAATGATCCAGCTTAGAGTAATGGCTTTAATCAATACATAGCAACCATAATCTGAGAAAATGTCATTCAAGAATTACCTTTAAGAATGTCCTTTTTAACTCCAAAATTGCTTTATCCCTGACATCTTCAAGTTTATTTAATGCTTGGCTAGCTTGCTGTAATTGTTCTTCGCAAAATTCATCTAGAGAGTATGTTCGAGATGGATCCAGCTAATTAAATGACAGTAAATGTCGAGTGTTAGAAAGTCACAATTCATTCACACAAAATGAGATGAAACATTTTAGTCTTTTTTCATGTCATGAGGAGTATATTTTATACTTCCTTCTTTATATGCTTTATGTTCTTCAAATTTAAACACCAATTGTTAAGTCTTGATAAAAACAAAAACAAGAAAATATTACTTTAAATTATAACTAAGATTTAGCCAAACTAAGAAAAATTCAAGACTTGAGGTATTTCTGAAGTTACCCATTAATCCAGGGAATCCACCAATCACAGGAATTATTTTCACTTCTGAAGTCCCAATTATTTATCAGACTTAAAAACATGAACATGAAATACAGGATAAGAAGGTTAAAACTAAGTAACCCAGATAAGGCAGACTTTTCAGAATTTATTCAGAATCCAGCAAAGAGAAATCTGCACACCTCGACCCTAACCTTGCTTCCTGGTCTTTACTACCTCATTGTCCACCTACACTGGGGTCTCCTCCTCCTTGTTCTATTACACAAGTGTCCACCTTCTGATTCCTGAGCCCAGCTCAGTTCTCCTGGCTATGGACCTCTGCTCTTCCTTGTAGCCTGGCTTCTCACAGTCTTGGTAACTCCCATTCTCGCAGATCGTCCTCCCTACAACTCCTACTGGGAGAGCCTCTGCCTCTGCCCCGTGTGGAGTTTTGTAGCCTACTGTCTCATTCTTTTATTGGCCTGACATTCATACAAAGCCCGTTTTCACAACAAATATGTCCTGAATGCATTACATTTATTCCAAGGATTGCTTTTTAATTGCAATACCCCCACTCCTCAGGTTATGCTAGTCGAGTACTGGCTAGTTCATAATAAGAAACATGCTCTAACTTTATATCATGCTAATCTGTATTTCCTCTGACTTTTCTGTAACATGGCTGTTTTACAAGTGTTTTTTTTTTTTTTTTGGGGGGGTGCAGTGTAGGAAACATTGTTTGTCTTACATGTTGCTAAGTGGTTGACTAGAATAATTATCAAAGCAAAGGGACCACCTCTACAGTTATTTTTATACACAAAGAATTGTCTCTTCCAATAAACTGTAAGCAGCACAGCTTTGCTTTTGTACTTTGTATTCATCTCCTTTGCATGGCACTTTGAAAACGGTAAATAACAAATACTTAGCTTATTTTCTTGAAAAGTTTATTCTTTCTCTTGATACTCTGGGGGAAAAGCTGACCTGGCCTAAGTGCTCCAGGAAGGAGCCCCAGTGTTCCTTTTGTGCCATCATTAGCATTGCCACTCATTAGCATCTTATTGTCTTTTGCATCCAAAGTCTCATCTGCTTCCCACTGTTCATTAAGTTCACCGATAAGTTCTTTTACTCATTCATAAATTAGTAGTATAGCTGTTCAATTTGTTTCCTTCTACATGAGAGCCATCACAGAAATATGTGTCTGGGGGTGGGCACTTAGCCTAGAAGTTAAGATGCTGGTTAAGACATTTGTGTACAACATCAGAGTACCTTGATTCAACTTTTTGCTTTGGCTCCTGATTCCAGCTTCCTGCTAATGGAGACCCTGGAAAGCAGCAGTAATGGATCAAGTAACTGGGTTACTGTCACCCAGATAGGAGACTGAGATTGAGTTCTCAGCTTCCAGTATTGGCCCCAGACCACCCCTGGCCATCACAGGGATTTGGGGAGTGAACCAGAAAATGACAGCATGCTCTCCTTCTCTCAAATACATGAGTAGCACTTGAAAAAATAATCTTTTGTTTTAGATATCTTCTACTTAAATTGTTTTTTAAATTTTAACTTAAATTGAATTTAATCCTTTTGAAACATTAATAAATATAACTACACAAAATATACTCCATCTATAGTGATTAATATTTCATTAATTTTATTTACTCATCCAATCAAAGGATATTTATTGAGTACCAACACATAACTAATTCTAAAAATAAGGTGTTATGTCAGTGTGTTGCTGTTCGGATTTTTCCAGATGATGATTCTTCTTGACTTCATACTACTCAAGAGAGTGGTAAAGCAATAGTCAAAAGCCAACTCCAAGTATTTTCTCTGACTGCTTCAATTTCATTAATGCCAACTCTCATTGGTGCTTTTGCAGGGATGATTCCGAGTAATTTAATTTTTGACAGGGACTATAATCTGTTCATTGATAATGAGCTGTAGTTTTTCTTTCTTTTTTATTTTTATTTTTTTGACAGGCAGAGTGGACAGTGAGAGAGAGAGACAGAGAGAAAGGTCTTCCTTTTGCCGTTGGTTCACCCTCCAATGGCCGCCATGGCCAGCGCACTGCGCTGATCCGAAGGTAGGAGTCAGGTGCTTCTCCTGGTCTCCCATGGGGTGCAGGGCCCAAGCACTTGGGCCATCCTCCACTGCCTTCCTGGGCCACAGCAGAGAGCTGGCCTGGAAGAGGGGCAACCGAGACAGAATCTGGAGCCCTGACCAGGACTAGAACCCAGTGTGCTGGCACCGCAGGCAGAGGATTAGCCTATTGAGCCACGGTGCCAGCCATGATAATTTCTTGATATGCTGCATTGAATGAGGGATACTTGGTAACTATTAATTATGTACTAGAGATAATTATTTATAAATAATACTGCATAGCCAGAGACAACTTGAAAATGAGGGGTTAAGTATAAGTATAGGTTAAGTATAAGTACACAATTCTTTATAAGGAATACTGTTAACTATTAAAAATGACTACCAAAGAAATCCCATTTTTATACATCAGTCATCCATCGAGATGGCTTATTTATACATCTAGAAATCTCTGTTCCTTTTATTCAGAACTCTATTTGTTCTTCCTTATTTCATATACTAATATTAGCTTATAGTATTACATTTTTAACATTCTTTAAAAATTTTTGAGAGGGAGAGAACACTTCCACCTGCTGGTTCACTTCCTAAATGCCCACACTGCTCAGGGCTGGGCCTGGCCAAAGCAGAAAACCAGGAATGTAAGCCACGTCTCCTATGTAGGTAGCTGGAATCTGGTAACTTCGATCGTCATGACTGCTACCTTTGAGGGTCTGCATTAGCAGGAAGCTGGAGTCTGGAGCCAGAGCTGCGAATTGAACCCAGCTACTCTGAAATGAGATGTGAGCATCTTAACTACTAGGCTAAATGCTCCCCCAAATATCGTGAACATTGGTAATCTGAAAATCCAGAATAAAAAGTGCTCCAAAATCCATTTTTGATTTTTAGATTAGAGATGCTAAACTGTTAAAGTCTAAGCAAATTTTCTAAAATCTCAAAAAACACACAAAATATCTCTGAAACTCAAAACACCTCTTGCTTACCCCCATATAGTTATACGCACCTTTACAAGACATATGGCAGATGGATTTCCTTCATGCTTATTATCTTTGATATTAATCACATCCTCACAAATTCCTCTTATATGAAGTAAACAGGCTTGAAATAATTCATCAGCCCAAAAAAGATGATGGTTCAAAAACAACCTGAATGTTTAAAGAGTTCCGCAGATTTACCTCTCATTTAGAATTAAATGAACTCAGAGTTTATTATTATCATTCAGTTCATATGCCTGGTATTAAAGGTATCACATCTGCATTTTAAGTGATAATGATTAGTAGGCATTAGGAGTTGCATTTGGCTGAAAATGTTTTAGTCAAGATTTAAATGTGTTAGGAAGGGGAAACAAGATACTCTTTGGCCACTTACTAATAGATTTGAATTATCAAATAGGTTTACATACACAGAACCATATATTTTAGTAAACTTATTAAGTCTAAACAAATTTCCTCAATTTACTTTTCTCCCAATTACAGGGGAAAAAATTAACTGGATTAGGGACCATTTGGAGAGAGGTCACATTTTCAAACTACCCATATCCTAAAAGTAGAGAAGGTGATGGGTTGTTTTCCCTGTCCTTTTCCACTGGTTTTATTGTCACAAAGGTAGATTGATCACCTCTATCAACACTGAAAATAGAATAGAGCTGAAGGGGAAGAAAGCCAGGTGGAAGAGATGAGACTCCTTACAACTGGGTCAAGGAGCCTTTTCTGTGAAACACACTGAGGAGAACAGGCAGCCTCTGCCCTTCGTGATGCTTGGCGGCTGACTGGGTTTTAATCAGAGGAGGACGGGCCATGCACTTGGGCCCCTGCACCCACGTGGGAGACCCAGGAGACGTCCTGGCTTCAGACTAGCCCAGCTCTGTCTGTTGTGGTGATTCGGGGAGTGAACAAGCAGATGGAAGGCCTCGCTCTCTCTGCAACACTACCTTTCAAATAGATAAGTAAATCTTTAAAAAATATCATAAACTATCTCTTCCCTATCTTTCCATTTTACAGATGAAAGATTTATATATCATGAAGCTAGTGAAGCTTAAATTTCACAGACATTTCCATATATAGGGTTCAAACTGCATTCATTCTCAGCCTTAAAGCACACCCCAAGTCCCCACATGGACAAGGAAGCAAACCTTACCTATGTAAGCTTACTGACCATAGCATCTAGTTCATCATCCTCAGCTGCGAGTCCACCTAACCTTGAACTACCTCTTCCAATCCTGCCTAACCACAGAACTCAAACAGTGGTACCATCTGGTCAAGAAACACACCCTGCAGCATGGCCTGATCAGAGGGAATTGTGTTTGGTCATCAGCCCTGCCTGACTGCGAAGCCAGGCCAAATGCTCCACCCTAGCTCAGAAAAAAAGTGACTGTGTTGCCATCTAGAGAACTCAAACTCTGCTTGACAGGAGTCATTACCAGCTGGCCCATCCAGAATCACAGGCTAAACTCAATAAAGCAGGTCTATCCCTTCAAAAGAACACCTGTAAAAGCCAGAAAAATTGGCTGTCTCCTCAAAGGCATAGACTCCAGTGCAAGGACACAGATTACAGAGACTCAGAAAATCACTACACTTCTAAAGCAAACTAACAAACCTCCAACAATGGCCCCTAAATTAATGGAGACCTGTGAAATGACTGACAAAAATTTCAGAATAATCTAAGGAGTTCAGTGAACTAAAAGAATACATGGATAAAAAACTGAACAGAATTTGGACATACATGAACAAAATGAGAAGTTTGATAAACATTTTAAAAACCCAGAGAGAAATCCTAGAGATGAAAAAATACAATGACTGATATGAATAATTTAATAGAAAATTTCAATGGAAGGCTTTCTATCAAGCTGAAGAAACAGGTCAAAGACTAAACATCTGAAATTAAACAGAGAAACAACACTACCTGAGTTATCTTAAATGAAAACAATCAATCCCAAAGATTGTATTTTCTATGATTCCTCTTATATAGAACATATTTTTTCGAAAACCACTTCATTATGATCTTAGTGGCATACAAAAATATATAAATATTTATTATATACCACCAGATGCATCTGGAGGTAAGTACATATATCTCAATCTCCATAACCTATGCTATGCAAATATCTATTACCTCCAAAAATATCCTCTAATTCTCATTATTATTATTTATGATACCATTCTTGAAAAGACAAAATTATAGAAAGGGGAAGATACTAGTGATTGCCACAGGTTAAGGAGAGAGTAGGAGTAGGAAGGAGCCAGTGGGGATACAGCAATCAAAAGATAACATGAGGGATCCTGTGATGAGACATGCTCTGTATCTTGATTCTATCAAGGTTAATGTCCTAGTTACTGCAATATTTTTATTTTTTTGCAAGATATTACCATCTTGGGGGAAAACAGGCAAAAGGTACATGGGAGCTTTCTGTATGATTTCTTACAACTGCATCTTGAGCCACAATTATCTCAGAATAAAACGTTTAGTGAAAACAACAACAAAAAAAGACACTTGACTGCTAGAGATCCTATGAAACAGGACTGAATGTCATAGAATGCTTAATCTTTCCTCTTCTTAGAAGCAAAAACAAAAACTAGATAAAGTGACCAAGAGTATTCACCGAAGTTCTTCATAGCTCTGTGGTCACAGAAGTATACTAGGAAATACAGCAAGTGCTTAACTGTCTTTAAGAATTGAGGTGGGTTAGATTTACTCATAGAGGCAGTGCAGTATGATTTTCTAATCACTGGTTGAAAACTCATTGTATATACTTTCATTCTACACTTTTAAAATACTGTTTTGAAATTTTTATAAGCATGTTGCATATCAAGACTTACTCGCTAGGAGGGCTCCAAGATGGCGGAATAGGGAGGGAGCTCCCTGATAGTCCAGAAGAAGATAGTTTAATAAAAGTGGAGATAGTGAAGTCTCAGGGAAGAGTTAGGGGAAAAACCGCAGAGGGAACTCTTCCAGAAGTAGAGGGACGTGGTGGATCCATGTGGAGGACACGGGCACCCATAGCTCAGGAGCCCAGCTGCCAAGAATCTTCTCCCCCACACCAGCGCTGGAAACAGAGGTGAGGTGAAACCACAGTAGCCCAAGACACTGGTGGAAAAGCGGCAGGAAGAGCCTAGAGGGAACGAGGCTTGAAGCTCCGTGGGGGAAAGTATACCAGCCTAACTAGAGAAAAGAAAAAAAATGGGATGGTAAGGACACAATTCTCTCTCTCTAGTCACCTTACAAAGGGGAGTGAGACAATAGAGCAGGTGCTATTTTGGACATATGTAACAGCTGCGCCAGCTCGGGGCTGTACCTGCTCTCAGCCAAACAGAAAAACTTTGACTCTGGTTGGGAGTAATAACAGGAGACTAAGACCTAGTGAATGTGTGGAGCTTATGAACCAGGACTGTGATAAAAAAAAAATTAAGGGTGTGTGGGAGAACTCATGGTGTGGCTGAGACGTGAGTAGTCTTGGTGGGAGACGCCACAAACTCAGTAGCCTTGGCCACCTGGTGAGAGACATTGTAGTGGAATCTGAGCTTACACTGAGGACTGCACAGATCCTTTGTGTGGTCCCTGGGACAGAGCAGACTATACCCACTGGGGCTAGCACTCAGGCACTGATTGCCATCAAGGAGAAGAGAATCCCCAATAAACATGACCAAAAGACATCCTTACCATGACACATTGTAATCAAACTCACAAGTGAAACATAAAGAAAATATCCTAAAATGTGCAAGAGAGAAATGTCAGATTACTCTCAGAGGATCTCCAATTAGACTCACAGCAGACTTCTCATCAGAAACCCTACAGGCTAGGAGGGAATGGCGAGACATAGCACAGGTGATAAGAGAGAAAAACTGCCACACCCAGAAACACGGCCATCAGTACCAAAGAAGGTAAAGGAAGAAATCTCCCAGTAAAAGATCACAGGAAGTTCAAAGCATATATTATAAATATCTTTGGAAAAATGACAGAGCAAAGTCACTACTTATCAATAGTCACATTGAATGTAAATGGCCTCAACTCTCCAGTTAAAAGACACAGACAGACTGAATGGATTAAAAAACAAAACCTATCTATTTGCTGCTTATAAAAAACACATCTTTCCAACAAAGATGCATGCAGACTGAAAGTAAAAGGTTGGAAAAAGATATTACATGCCAACAGAAACCAAAAAAGAGCTGGCATAGCCATCTTAATATCAGACAAACTTTAACACAAAACCTGCTAAGAGAGACAAAGAGGGGCACTATATAATTATTAAGGGATCAATTCAACAGGAAGATGTAACTCTTATAAATGTATATGCACCTAATTACAGGGAACCGGTTTATTTAAAAGATATGTTAAGGAACTTAAAGGGAGACTTAGACTTTAAGACAATAGTATTGGAGGACTTCAATAATCCACTTTCAGCAATAGGCAGATCAATAGGACAGAAGATCAATAACGAAACAGCAGATTTAATCAACACTATAGCCCAAATGGATCTAACAGATATCTACAGAACGTTTCATCCTATACCTAAAGAATACACATTCTTCTCAGCAGTACATGGGACCTATTCTGGGATTGACCACATACTAGGCCATAAAGCAAGTCTCAGCAAATTCAAAAGCATTAAAAAAATCATATCAAGCATCTTCTCAGACCACCATGGAATAAAGCTGGAAATTAGAAACCCAGTAATCCGCCGGCGCCGCGGCTCACTAGGCTAATCCTCCGCCTAGCGGCGCCGGCACACCGGGTTCTAGTCCCGGTCGGGGCGCCGGATTCTGTCCCGGTTGCCCCTCTTCCAGGCCAGCCCTCTGCTGTGGCCAGGGAGTGCAGTGGAGGATGGCCCAGGTGCTTGGGCCCTGCACCCCATGGGAGACCAGGAAAAGCACCTGGCTCCTGGCTCCTGCCATCGGATCAGCGCGGTGCGCCGGCCGCATCGCGCCGGCCGCGGCGGCCATTGGAGGGTGAACCAACGGCAAAGGAAGACCTTTCTCTCTGTCTCTCTCTCTCACTGTCCACTCTGCCTGTCAAAAAAAAAAAAAAAAAAGAAACCCAGTAATCCCTAGAGCATACGCAAACACATGGAGACTGAACAACAAGCTCCTGAATGAACAATGGGTCATAGAAGAAATCAAAAGAGAAATCAAAAAACTTTCTGGAAGTAAATGAGGATAACAACACAACATATCAAAACTTATGGGATACAGCAAAAGCAGTGTTAAGAGGAAAGTTTATAGCAATAGGTGTCTACATCAAGAAATTTGAAGGGCATCAAATAAATGAGCTATCAATGCATCAAATAAATGAGCTATCAATGCAGCTCAAGGATCTAGAAAAACTACAGCAAACCAGACTCAAACTAGTGGAGGGAGATGTATTTGATTTAGAGGAGAATTCTCACCAGAATGAACCCCCCCCCCCAAAAAAAAAAACATTACAAAAGATCAGCAAAATGAAGAGCTGGTTTTTTGAAAAAATAAACAGAATTAACACACCATTGGCCCAACTAACTAAAAAAAAGAAAAGACCCAAATCAATAAATTTAGAGATGAAAAAGGGAATGTAACAGCAGACACCACAGAAATAAAAAGAATCATCAGAAATTACTACAAAGAGTTGCATGCCAGCAAACAGGTTATCTACCAGAAATGGACAGATTCTTGGACACATACAACCTACCTAAATTGAACCATGAAGACATAGAAAACCTAAACAGACTCATAACTGAGACAGAAATTGAATCAGCAATAAAGTCCCTCCCAACAAAGAAAAGCCCAGGACCAGATGGATTCACTGCTGAATTCTACCAGACATTTAAAGAAGAACTAACTCCAATTCTTCTCAAACTATTCAGAACAACTGAAAAAGAGGGAATCCTCCTAAATTCTATGAAGATGCAGCAGAGAAAGAGAATTATAGACCAATTTCCCTGATGAACATAGATGCAAAAATCCTCAATAAAATTCTCGCCAATAGAATGCAACACATCAGAAAGATCATCCACCCAGACCAAGTGGGATTTATCCCTGGTATGCAGGGATGGTTCAATGATCACAAATCAAACAATGTGATACACTACATTAACAAACTTCAGAAGAAAAACCATATGATTATCTCAATAGATGCAGAGAAAACATTCGCTAAAATACAGCACCCTTTCATGATGAAAAATCTAAGCAAATTGGGTATAGAAGGAACATTCCTCAATACAATCAAAGCAATCTATGAAAAACCCACAGCCAGTATCCTATTGAATGGGGAAAAATTGGAAGCATTTCCACTGAGATCTGGTACCAGACAGGGATGCCCACTCTCACATTTGCTATTCAATATAGTACTGGAAATTTTAGCCAGAGCCTTTAGGCAAGAAAAAGAAATTAAAGGGATACAAATTGGGAAGGGAGAAGTCAAATTATCCCTCTTTGCAGATGATATGACTCTTTATTTAGGGGATCCAAAGAACTCTACTAAGAGACTATAGGAACTCATAGAAGAGTTTGGCAAAGTGCAGGATATATAATCAATGCACAAAAATCAACAGCCTTTGTATACACAGACAATTCCTTGGCTGAGAAAGAACTGCTAAGATCAATCCCATTCACAATAGCTACAAAAACATTCAAATTCCTTGGAATAAACTTAACCAAGGATGTTAAATATCTCTATGATGAGAATTATAAAATCTTAAAGAATAGGATACAAAAAGGACAGTCTATTCAACAAATGGTGCTGGGAAAATTGGATTTCCACGTGCAGAAGCATGAAGCAAGACCATTACCTTACACGATCCACTCAATATGGATTAAAGATCTAAATCTATGACCTGACACCATTAAATTATCAGAGAACATCAGAGAAACCCTGCAAGATATAGGCACAGGCAAAGACTTCTTGGAAAAGACCCCAGAGGCATAGGCAGGCAAAGCCAAAATTAACAACTGGGATTACATCAAATTGGGAAGTTTCTATACTACAAAAGAAACAGTCAGGAAAGTGAAGAGGCAACCAACAGAATGGGAAAAAATATTTGCAAACTATGCAACTGATAAAGGATTAGTAACCATAATCTACAAAGAGATCAAGAAACTCCACAAAAACAAAACAAACAACCCACTTAAGAGATGGGCCAAGGACTTAAATAGACACTTTTTTTTTTTGGCAGGCAGAGTTAGACAGTGAGAGAGATACAGAGAGAAAGGTCTTCTTTTTTCCATTGGTTCACCCCGCCAAGTGGCTGCTACAGCCAGCGTGTTGCGGCCTGTGCGCTGCGCCAATCCGAAGCCAGGAGCCAGATGCTTCCTCCTGGTCTCCCATGCGATTGCAGGGCCCAAGGACCTGGGCCATCCTCCACTGCACTCCCGGGCCACAGCAGAGAACTGGACTGGAAGAGGAGCAACCAGGACAGAATCCAGCACCCCAACTGGGACTAGAAACTGGGGTGCTGGCGCTGCAGGCAGTGGATTAGTCTAGTGAGCTGCAGTGCCGGCCGACATTTTTCAAAAGAGGAAATCCAAATGGCCAACAGACACATGAAAAAATGTTCAAGATCACTAGCAATCAATGAAATGCAAATCAAAACCACAATGAGGTTTCACCTCACCCCGGTTAGAATGGCCCACATTCAGAAATCTACCAACAACAGATACTGGTGAGGATGTGGGTAAAAAGGGACACTAACCCACTGTTGGTGGGAATACAAACTGGTAAAGCCACTATGGAAGTCAGTTTGGAGATTCTTTAGAAACCTGAATATAACCCTACCGTTCGACCCAGCCATCCCACTCCTTGGAATTTACCCAAAGGAAATTAAATTGGCAAATAAAAGAGCTGTCTGCACTTCAGTGTTTATTGCAGCTCAATTCACTATAGCTAAGACATGAAATCAACCTAAATGCCCATCAACAGAAGACTGGATAAAGAAATTATGGGATATGTACTCCATAGAATTTTATACAGCAGTAGAAAAAATGAAATCTGGTCATTTGCAACAAAATGGAGGAATCTGGAAAACATCACGCTGAGTGAAATAAGCCAGTCCAAAGGGACAAATATCGTATGTGCTCTCTGATCGGTGAAAACTGAGCACCTAAAAGGAAACCTGTTGAAGTGAAATGGACACTATGAGAAACAATGACTTGATCAGCTCTTGTCCTGACCGTCGAGGAACAACTTACTATTTTATTCCTTTCAGTATTTTTTGTTCTAGTTAATACCATTGGTTGAACTCTTTAACACACAATTATTCTTAGTTGTTTAAATTTAACTGAAAAGTGATCCCTCTTAAATGTAAGAGTGGGACTAAGAGAAGGAGGAGATGTTAAGTTCGGCACATGCTCAATCAGACTTACCCCTAATGATAGAGTTAGAAACGTAACAGGGCATTCCAATTCAATCCCATCAAGGTGGCATGTACCATAGCCATCTCACTAGTCCAAGTGATCAGTTTCAGTTCATAACTGATCATAATGATAGGATTAAGTGTTAAAGGGTTCACATCAACAAGACTAATGTCTGCTAATACTAACTGATAGAATTAAAAAGCAGAGAACACTCCAACATGGGAAGCAGGATACAGAGCAGACTCATAGAATGGCAGTTGTCCTAAACTGCACTCTGGCCTCAGAATCAGCCCTTAACGCATTCGGATCTGGCGAAAAAGCCCATGAGAGTATTTCAGGCATGGAAAGCCAAGACACTGTGGCAAACAAACAAACAAACAAACAAAACAAAAAAACCTAAATGAAAGATGTCTGTGAGTGAGATCCCAGCGGAAAGAACGGGCCATCAAAGAAGGAGGTACCTTTCTCTGAAGGGAGGAGAGAACTTCCATTTTGACTTGGCCTTGTCTAAATAAGATTGGAGTTGGCAAACTCAAGAGGCTTCCATAGCCTTGGCAGCTCATGACAAGAGCCTCGGGTGATTACTGACATCATACATAAGAGTGTCAATTGTTAAATTAACAACAGGAGTCACTGTGCACTTACTCCCCATGTAGGATCTCCATCCTTAATGTGTTGACTATCTGAATTAATGGTATAACTGGTACTCAAACAGTACTTTATACTTTGTGTTTCTGTGTGGGTGCAAACTTAGTATATACTAAATTGATCTTCTGTATATAAAGATAATTGAAAATGAATCTTGATGAAGAATGGGATGGGAGAGGGTGTGGGAGATGGGATGGTGGTGGGTGGGAGGGTGGTTATGGGGGGGAAAAAGCTACTATAATCCAAAAGTTGTACTTTGGAAATTTATATTTATTAAATAAAAGTTTTTAAAAAAGACTTACTTGTTTTTATCTGTCTTAATTCTTTTAACATTTGATCTCCAAATAACAAAGGCTTTATAAATTCTGAAAAGAAAAACACTTCTTACATTTTATGTTCATAAATCATGTATCCATATAGAATATGTGTAGTAAAAGATCAGTATTAGAAAATTCTCTAAGACATTTCATTCATCCTGAGTTTCCTAAATACTAAACTATATAAATTTTTTCCCAAACCATTAACAGAACACAGAGCAAAAGGTAAATGTAAATTAATTTTCATAGATGAAACATTCAATTATTTCCAATATTCTAGCAAGTATTAAAAACTATAAGTATATATTTTCCCTTAAAATTTGTTGGCCTTATATTTTGATAAGAGACTTATTTCAGGGAGACTCAAGATTTAATTCTTCAGTGATGATGAAAAGGTACATTGATTAAAAAATATGTAGTGGAGGTAAAAAAAATTAAGATAATGTATTTCATCTTGATACTATTTAATACTAATGAAAAAGGGACATATTTATGGTTTTAAAACCCATATGAATAAGAATTGAAAAGTTTTCCTGGTGATTACTCAAACATAATTTTCATAAATGAAATATGCATGCCCACCATTTATGCAAATCTTCAACATCTGGAAATGAATGCTGCTGCCTATTTTATGCACTGAGACTCATTTAGTGCCATATCACATTCTGTTCCCGAGTAGCCTCTGCATCTTGAGGAAAACAACCACCTTTAAACAAACACTGAGATGTGACACCTGTTGGCCAAAGTGAGATTCCTTATATAGCTGGGAAAGAGCCAGCAGGCAGGGACTGGAGTGCCCAAGAAGCAACCAATATTGGTGAAGACACTAGCTTATTTTCAGTCACAGAAGACCTAGTTCTGGAAGCTTCTGGGCAGCTCCAAGAGAATCCTGTAAGTCCTCAAAACAACTGAGGCCTCAGAAATCAGAAGTGCCTCGGGTGAATCTGGTAATGGGGCAGGCATCATGACGCAGTGGGTACAGCCACCACTTGTGGTCCATGCACCCCAGTGATGGTGTCTGCCACCCACGATGGAGACCTGGATGGAGTTCCATGATCCTGGATTTGACCTGGTCCAACCCCAGCTGTTGTCAGCATTTGGGGAGTGAAACAGAGGATATAAGATTGATCCAACTCTCTCATCCTGCCTTTTAAATAATAGCTCATTAAAATATTATTTTTAAAAGATTTGTTTATTGTGCTCGCTTCGGCAGCACATATACTAAAATTGGAATGATACAGAGAAGATTAGCATGGCCCCTGCGCAAGGATGACACGCAAATTAGTGAAGCGTTCCATATTTTTAAGCCCTCAAATGAAAAAGACACCCCCATTCAAGATTATGAGGATGATGACATAGAAGAAATGCAAGAAGCAGATCTCAAAAAATTGATAAGAACATTAAGAAGTTCTCAAAAACAAATTCTGGAACTACAGAAATCCTTAATGGACAAGATAGAAAATCTCTCTCATGAAAATGAAATATTAAGGAGGAATCAAAATGAAACAAAACAACTAGTACAACAGGAAACTGTGATAGTGACTGAAGTGAAGAATTCAATAGATCAAATGAAAAACACAATAGAGAGCCTTACAAACAGAATGGGTGAAGCAGAAGAGAGAATATCGGACTTAGAAGACAGAGAACAGGAAAGGATACAGTCAGACCAAAGAAAAGAAGAGGAAATTAGAAATCTAAAACATATTGTCGGGAATCTTCAGGATACTATTAAAAAACCCAACATTCGGGTTCTAGGAGTTCCTGAAGGCATGGAGAGGGAGAAAGGATTAGAAGGCCTTTTTAGTGAGATATTAGCAGAAAATTTCCCAGGTTTGGAGAAGGACAGAGAAATCCTAGTACAGGAAGCTCACAGAACCCCTAATAAACACGACCAAAAGAGATCCTCACCACGACACGTTGTAATTAAACTCTCCACAGTGAAACATAAAGAAAAGATCCTAAAATGTGCAAGAGAGAAACGTCAGATTACTCTCAGAGGATCTCCAATCAGACTCACAGCTGACTTCTCATCAGAAACTCTAAAAGCTAGGAGGGAATGGCGAGATATAGCCCAGGTACTAAGAGAGAACAACTGCCAGCCCAGAATATTATATCCTGCAAAGCTATCATTTGTGAATGAAGGTGAAATAAAGACTTTTCATAGCAAACAGAAATTGAAAGAATTTGTTGCTACTCGTCCAGCCCTGCAAAAGATGCTTAAAGATGTGTTACACACAGAAACAAAGAAACATGGTCATCAATATGAAAGAAGGTAAAGGAAGGAAACCAAGGAAGGAAAGCTCACAGCAAAAGATCACAGGGAATTCAAAGCATATATTAGAACTTATCTTTGGCAAATGGCAGGGCAAAGTTACCACTTATCATTAGTCACATTGAACGTGAATGGCCTGAACTGTCCAGTTAAAAGACACCGATTGGCTGATTGGGTTAAGGAACAAAACCCATCTATTTGCTGCTTACAAGAAACACATCTTTCCAACAAAGATCCATACAGACTGAAAGTGAAAGGCTGGAAAAAGATATACCATGCCAACAGAAATGAAAAAAGAGCGGGCGTAGCCATCTTAATATCAGACAACATAAACTTTACCACAAAAACCGTTAAGAGAGACAAAGAGGGACACTACATAATGATTAAGGGATCAATTCAACAGGAAGATATAACAATTATCAATGTATATGCACCTAACTACAGGGCACCGGTTTATCTAAAAGATTTGTTAACGGACTTAAAGGGTGACTTAGACCCCAATACAATAGTACTGGGGGACTTCAATACTCCACTCTCAGAAATAGACAGATCAATAGGACAGAAGATCAACAAGGATACAGTTAGATATAGGTGCACCTATAGAAGGAT